AAAAAATCCACGATTACAAACTTTAGAAAATACACCAAGAAAATCTTGTAAAGAAAAGAACACTCAGCGCGTTACACTGTTGGAATAAATTTATGGAAATATTCAAATGTGAAAATTAAAAATCGTTTTCAACAATTTAGTTTAAAAGTAAATCAATGATTGAAATTCTAAGTATATAAAGTTTACCAGTTGTCTAGTTTTCTTAATTTTTTGATATTACATAGTGTACAGCAGAACAATTATAAATGTGAAAAGAAAACTACTACTTGATAAAACTATACCAACAAATTTTTGGCTAGTTTTTTAGGAGAGTATATTTTAAAAATTATACATTTATAAATACTTTTTTTTTTTGTTTTTCATTGTATATAATTGTTCCATACGTGCGGTGTTAATAAACATGATAAAAAAATATTTTCTATTCTACTCCGAAAACATAAAGTTCCATTGCTCCAGTTATGAATTATCTACAACAGTATCGACTTCTTTCGTTATTTTATCTAATAACCCCCAAAAAATAAACTGTTTTCCAAACATAGAAAATTACAATTTTTTATTTTACTATTTTATAATTCTTTTTCCTTTTTTTTTTTTTTGTTAAACTATAAATATATTATTTTGCCTGTCCAATTAAGATGATCATTATTTTACAGAAAAAAAGTATTCGTTTGCATTTCTGGCTGGATATGCAGTAATTGCAGTTCTTACAAGTCTCTGTGAAGAATGGATAACAACAACTACAGTACTTAGAATAGCTCCAGCAGTATCAACTATGTTACAAGAATTAATCAAACTGGTTATTAGCTATATGTTACTAAGTATACAAATTGGAAGTTGTACAAGGTAAGCGAACAAAAAAAAAAACCGGATTATCATTCACTGTTACTAAATGCTCAATTTAAATTTCAATCAAACACTGTTGCTGTTAAGAATTATTTAGGCTTTGTTGATGTAAACTTTGATGTTAAAAAGTAGATTGTTGACCTGTTTATAACAACAAGAATTAAGATTTTTAGTTCTATGTTTAAATTTCATTTCTAATAGAAGCCAATTTTGATTGTTTCTTCCAAAAAACAACAGCAAATAAATTGTAGAAGAAGATATGTGATGTTAATTAAGTGTAATTTAGTAACAGCTTTTTTTTTTTACTTTTTAAATCTATTATTTTTGGTGGCTTAAAACTGTTGCCTAAAAATCAACTGCAAATAATTTCTTTTTCTTCTTTTTTTTTTTTTTCTTCCCCGTTCTGTTTAGTAACAGAGCTTTAGAGCTGTGAAAGAGCTGAATAAAGAACTTTTTGAACACTGGGATGATACACTAAGAGCCAGTGTACCTGCTATAACGTATTTTATCCAGAATTACTTGCACAATTATAACGCCAAATATATGGATGCATCAGTTCGAATGGTAAACTATTGTTGTTGAATAACTGCTGAATAAAGTTCCCATGCCATTTTTAGGCTAGTTTTTAGTTTTATTACCAAAATAAAACTTTTTCTAGAAGTCACTTATCTTTCTGAAATGGTGTAGGCATTGAAAATTTGTTAAAGAAATATAATTTGGTGTAAAGATTAGAAATGACAACTTTTTCCTTTTCAAAAATATTACAGTCGAAAAATCCGATAGTTGTTTAATCAGTGATAGCAGCAAAAAATTTTTTTAGATATACATACAGTTTTGCTATTAAACAAATCTCGCAAAGTTACAGGCACTTAGTCAAATGAAGTTGATATCTACAGCTTTTTTTTGGGTAGTATACTTAGACATCGATCTTTCACCGCTTCAGTGGATTGCCTTAACACTTCAACTTACTGGAGCTACCTTAGTACAAATGGTAAACTTGTCAGGTTTTCCTACATTTTTTTTCTGTTGTGATCTATAATTCTAAACTTATTCAGTAAGTTCTGAATTGACTACATTGAATGACCGCAAAAACATTCTTGATTTTAACTAAGCTAATTATTTTGTCGATAAAATATATGGTTGGCCTTTTTTTACTATGCTGCAGTACTACACGTAACTACTGTTAACTTTGATTTCTACAACGTACAAAAAATTTTCAGAATGGTTCTGCAAAATAATAGTGTAAAAAAATTTTGAAAATTTTATTCAAATAATTGCTGAATTTTCCTTTTTACTGTTCACTTCTGAATAAAAATACATAGTTAAAGTTACATGTTAATTAAAGGATCGTAAAACAAAAAGAGGAGAAGAATCAAGAATGGCACAAAGAATGGAATTTTTGATGGCATTACATGCAGCCCCAGAAGCAGACAGCAAGGAACAACGAATTATAATTGGACTTATGATTGAACTAAGTGGAGTCTTAATTTCCGGTAATAAAATAGATTTTTTTTGTCAAAAAATATTGGTTTTTTCGTATAATGCTCTAAAAAAAAATTTGACCAACAAAAAGAAATTTTAAATTATATGTCACATCTTCTTTTTTCAAAAGCAAACAAAAAAGTTTTTCTTTTAGGTTTTTCAGCAGCATATTGGGAAAGATTGCTGAAGCGAAGGAGAAAAGTATCCATATGGCTACGAAATACTGAACTCGCATTTTTCTCAATTCCACTTAGCTTTGCAACGATATTGTTGACGGTAAGTCTTCAGCATTGCTAAACAGTTGTTACTTACGGTTACATTTTATCACTTGCATTACCTAAAGTTGTTTTGTTGTTTAAGTAGAAAAAAAGTAGACAAATTGAAGTTATTCGTTGCTTACAATAAAATTACAGCAAGATGATGGTATAAAATTGTTTAAAGATGGTTCACTAATTTATTTTGACTCTATTTATTGGATAACAATTGCGTTAAGAGCACTGGTTGGTCTATCGGTTGGGCTCGCCATTAAATTTGGCAGCAGTTTACTGAAAGCATTCACCGGTTCCATAGCCAGTGTTTTTTTCGGTATAATTGCAATTTTTGCGTTCAAGTTTATACCAACAAACCAATTTTTCCAAGGTGCATTTCTATCACTTATAGCGCCAATAATTTTCACTGCATTTCCACCTGAACAGGAAAAATTTAAACCTAGAAAATCGGTACATTTTCTAGATGTTTAATAATACAAAACAGTACAGTTGGCAAATATTGAGAATTGTAGATGTGCAGACTGATCTAACGAATATATTTAATTATTTATATAAGTCGCACTATTTTTTTGCCATACAAATTTTGAAAAGTCGCAAATTTCACAGATAATAATTGATAGTTTTCATTTGCATACCTTCAGCAATATAAGAAAAAAAAAGATGAAAAAGATACCAAAACTGCAAGAAAAAGTACCTTGGAAAAAAAAAATTTGTAAATTTATTGTTCTGGCTCTTCTGTTTTACCAGCTGCAATGCACTGTATTCGTTGTTTACAAAAAACTTGTTGGAAATGAACACTATTCGGTTGTATAACACATCTAAAAAACATTTGTTTTCTTCTAAGTCTTCTCTTTTCCTTTAAGCCAAAATAGTCGCTGTGCAAAGTTATGAGTAGAATTCGGCTAAGTAAGCGAAAGTTTTTGCAGAACATTGGGACGACGCATATCAGCATACCTACCCTTTCACAACTTTCTATTTTTTGACTAACATATGAACACCTCAAAAATTTTCTCATAAATCCTTATGAGTTTTTTCAACGTTAGCTCCTTGAACTGCTTGTGATATGCAGTGCGTGCAATAACGAGTCTTGGCATAAACTGCTACATCTGAAAGCATAAGCAGAAGCATTATAGAGGTAGTTAAGTAAATTTTCTATTTTTCCATCGTCTTAAGCAAGCTTATGCTCTAAGAAGTTTGAAACGACTAGTAGGGGATGAAAGATACTTGGCCACTTGATGGACGGTAGTCAATGCATTAGATTGGTGCAGGAAATTAACAGAAGATGGAGCGCCGAAAGAGTAGGAATACTGAATTTGACAGTGCCATAAATATGACTGACTGTACTGTGTTTTGTTCTAAACAATTCCTCGCTGAGTTCGAAGATCGAATCTTCTGCATTAAACTTTTGACAAACTTACTATGACAATACAAACACATCCCCGCTTTATCCCGCCAAGGCGTGTCGAGCAAAAGTGACAATTTGAGATCATCTGGAAGAAGTTCAGCGTAAAAATCCTTACTGCCCAAAAAATGTGGAAAATCAAACTTTCAAGGCATAAAAAATCCATTTAATTTTAGTGTTCAAAGCCTGCTTCAATAATAACCACTTCTCTTTCTTCACTAACGACCTTAAATACAGCCTTCTTCAGTTTTGTCTTCGTCAGTTGTTTGTTTATTCCCTTATTTATCTCTCCGGTTCATTTAGAATACATAATACACGCATTTCATTTATCACCTTTATCATAAATACTATATATACAACTAAACTTATTATTGATGACAAAACTTTTTGTTTTTTCTCTCAAAGATCATTATTTGCAATAATAATGTTTTACTTCTTTCATGAAAATATCACGCTTCACGTCACAACACCAAAAAAATTTGCATTTACACTCTGCTATGATACTATTTTTGGCTAATATCCATTTTCTTCCACAGCATAAGCTATAGACTGTAAAAGCATTAAATAGGTTGTAATAAATTACTGGTTTCACAGCTGTTCAACACTGAATTTCACAAAAATTTTGTGACGTTTTCTAGCTGTATACTACAGCTTAAAAAAAGTGCTATTAAATTTGAAAAACATTAATTTATTTGGGGCTAAATACTTGTTTAAAGTTATATTTTAAGAGCATAACTCGTCGAAAAAAATAAAAAAAAAGAACTGCTCTACTGAATGAAAACTAACATTTCGCAGTGGTGACCTCATTCACGTTCAAGGGGTCCTCTTACTCCAACAGCGAAATCCTCGTTCCAGTAGTCTGGAGATTTGTCTAGAAAAGCCAACTCATTATGTGTAATAATTTTACCCGGCTTATTAAGGTATCAGCCAGACTGGTCAACTTTTTCAGCCAGCAACTTTGGAGCTTTTCCGCTAAAAACAAAATTAACCTGAAAAGTATAATTCATTTTAGAATGCTTGTCTTCTCTAATGACTTGTTTCTGCCTGGTCAAGATGCGACCTAAACAACAAGAAAGACCAAACCTTAATTTAGCTGCTTGAAAATATTTGTTTTTCAGTAGAGTGTCAAAGTAATCTAGAGGTGGAACGACATTCTAACATGTTTTTTGCAACGCATGAACCTCTAACTCCGTGACATCTGCATTCCCTTATCAAGTTTCTCAATAGTAGCCTACTGCCAACTTTACTGTTATGAAGACTTGTCAGCAATCTAAAAATTATTAAAATTGTTAACTGACAGTATGTTGACTTAAAACACAATCGATGACTTAAGAAGATCGAAAGCAAAAAGAAACAAATTATAAAAAGGGGGACAGAAAAGATGAAAATGTACTAATATGTACCTAGCATCGTTTCCACTTATAGAGTCAAATTTTTCCATAATTTCCTTAACAAATGAATTTGCATATTTGACATTATCCGAACAACCGGCCCATATAAAATTCCTCTTGAAACGTTCTTGTGCTGGTAGTTCACCACAGCCACAATCGTCACTTATGCCATGCAAAAAACGCACGAGCGATAGTATGGTTTACAGAAGTTGATGAAAGTGCGAAGTAGTAAGCTGTTTTACGGTTTGCTGCTATAACATTCAGTATTCCCGATGAATTAAAACTAATATATGGTTTATTTTAAAAACAGCTTGACTAATAGTTGGCAGCCAATCTGTCAAACAATTTATTCTGAATTTTGAATATTAGTAAGAGACTTTTTTGTGAAGAAAAATATTTGTTTGCTACTCTACTGCATTTTCGTGGAAACATTTCGGTTGGTTATTTTTTTGCAAGGACTACTGCTTATTAAGTATGCGGCTGGAAAAGCCTGCAACGGGAATGAAATGATGAGATAAGGCAGCTATGTTCCTCGCAGTTGTAAAAATCTTTCCTTTTTTCTTCTTTCATGAATATGGTATCATACAACTGTTGCAGTGAACAAAAGTGTGGTTAAAATTCTAAAGCATTTTACAGAGTACCTTGTCATGCGATCTGTATTAAATACTGGCCAAAATATGGTTTTGAAAGTTCTACCTGTCTGTCCAACCAGTTTAATATCGTCGGTATCACATCTGTTACTCTTTTACAAAACTTTTCGATATTTTTGCCAGTATATTAGAACTGGCTTTAAAGATTGGAAATTTAGTGAACCGCTAGTGCAGTTTTTTGCCCCTTCACGTTCGCCACCACTTTTCGGCTTTTTAAGATCTTTATTTTTTTCTTATAAAAAAGATTTTTACCTTTTTTCGACAGATAACATTATGGCTGAATCTAAATTGGTGAAAATACGTTGGCCAATTTATCTCAACCTTAGTAACTCTAATTAACAAAGATATGAAGTTTAATAGAGCCGAGCAATCAACCAAGTTTTGTACCCACCAAGGGAAAAAAGTATTTTTTTGCTCAATAAAATTAACTTTTGCAGGAAAATCACACAAACGACGATAAAAGATAAAGAAGAGTGAAAATGCATTCAGAATACATTCAAAACAGTCTATAAGCAGCATAAATTCAAAAGCTATCAAACTAAATAATATGTATATTATCTCTTTCCCTAGCAAGTGGCATTCTTAAATTGAAATTACAGAATAACCGTAGCCTTTTGCTGATTACATCGCAAAACGCTTTGCTGTACTTAATTCTCAGCGCGATTCATGCGGCTAGTAACATCAACCACGGATTCTTTTATTTGTTCTAACTCTACTTTTAATTCATTTCTCTCTGTTCCCAAAATCTCATTTAATCGCAAATTCCCAACTGATGAAAGATATAGCGAAAGAAGGAAAGAAATGGTAGAGAATGAAAGATGGTAATTAGAGGAAAAAACTGGAAACGCTTTTTTTACTTGGGGTCAGCCCTTCTCGGCATTAAAAGCAGTATTTTACAAAACATTTGAAGGTTTTGCAGAATGATGAAATGAGAATAGGATCAGTTGTATAGCTTTTTAAAGTGGATGTAAATGTATTAAATGGTTACACCTGAGTACATACACACATATACACCTGAGTGCTACTGAAACAGTAGCATTTCTTTGTACGGAGCAGTTCCATCTTTGATCACTAGACTGTATTTCACATTCATGAACTGCAGCCTGCAAACCGACAGTGATATAGGGAACACGGCTAAGGTGCCGAGCACAAATATGCCGTTGTCGTATTGTTAGTCTTGGTAATTTAGCATAGTTGACTAAGCCATTTCTACCAATCTTTGTAGCATAAGGTAAGAGCCTGAAAAACTTAAATGATAATAGAAGCGCTTTTTAGACCATCAATTTTGCTTAATAAAATTACTTGGAAATGTGTTAGAGAAGAATAGGAGAGAAGAAACCAGCCTAAAACGATTGTTAAAGTAAAAGAGGAAAATCAGATGATTGAAATTTACTTCAAAATTAGATCGCTGGACAGCAACTTATATGACAACTACGTAAAACATCTCTTTGAACGGACAAGTATGTGTTACTATTTATTAAATTTAGGTACCAGAATGGTTTTTAAAGTTCTCTTATCTTTTCTTAGCAATCTTCAAAATTTTGGTTAAAAAAACGACGCAGAGCTATGTTCAAACGTGCAGTTTTGACTAAACAGATGAGTCTTAAAAAGGGCGTACTGTGAAAATAAAGACAGAAATAGCTTAAAAAGTGTTGTTGT